ACATACATACATACATACATACATACATACATACATACATACATACATTTGTAAATAAAAAAAAGAAAAGAAATACATTGAACATAGTTTTTATGCTACCTCATAAGCATTGATTGCACCAACAGTGGAGAGGTAGCCAATTAGTTTATTCAGCTGAAAAAAGCCTACACTGGCCTTTTAAGGTGTGGCGATGACTGCGAGTGGTTTAGGTTAGCCAGAAACATACATTAGGTCATTGATGCTTGACTTTGTTCCTTTCCTACACTGCTTTTCCAATCAGTTCTGCCCACTGAGCTGTCAAATGCTGCTAGGGTGAGCTTAGCCTCTGGAATCCAGCCAGTCAATAAAACTCTGTATCTCTGCCAGGTTCCAAATAACACAAGAGCCAATCAGCTAGTTGGAAACATATCAACCATGACATTTGTCATTGATCAATGTCAAGCCACCATGCTCGATTATTGATCCAAAGACACCTATGTGAGCCTCCCAAATTCCCAGTCTGAATCCTGGTTTTTATTCAAACAAAAACGAGTACATTTTAACAAGATCCCTCCTCTATTTGTGACATCACCTCATCAGCTGACCTATTCAAAAAGGGGAAGATGCAAATTGAAGTATTGATCCAGCCATCATGTGGGACACAATGAACGGGAAGAAAACAAGGAACAAATGAAAATCAATCGATACCACATCGATAACCCACAAAAGTATACTGAAAAATATCCACCCAAAGAATTTCTGCCCCTCTTTCTAACCACCCTTCTCTGTCCCTCTTTCTTTGCCCCCGCAAAAAAAAGCTATTAACAGAATGTACAGACACGATGGACATTGATGGACAATAACGAAAAAGGGAAGAAACAGATACAGAACAAAGCAGACAGGAAGCGAAGATGACAGTATCTGCATGCTGAAAGAGGTAATTCTCTACCTGCGCAGCCGAACAGTGCCAACGACCGTCCATGCCTGCCTGACTGCCAAGTTCACACATAGTATCTGCTCTATGTCCTCACACACTTCTGCAGAGATTCAACAGCTTGGCTAAGACTTTCACAACTGGAAATCACACACACACAAAGTCTATAGAAGCTAAACATACTCAAGTCATCTATTTGTACTTAAACATATCTACACACACATTCATTCAGCAAATCTGGTTGAAGTTGGAAAGCTGATGGAGAGATCCTGACGAGAGAGGAGAGCAGCTAGCCTCACTACTGCAGATGGTGAGATAGACTCATACAACGCCTGCATTAACAGCCTATCACTGGCGCTCAACCACAGACAGAGAGGGGAGGGTGGGAGGTAGGGATAGAGTGAGGGAGGACAGAAGAGGAAGAGGAGAAGGGGGGTACTGAGCAAATATGGAAAGATATGAAGGAGTGAAAAAAGGAGAGAAAAAAAGTGAGAAGAAAAGGAAAGAGAAAGTGAGCCGGCAAGAAGGGTGGAGCGCATCTCCACACAAGATGGAGACAAAGATGCGAAGCAGGTAACAAAGAAAAAAGAAAGGAGGAGGCGAGCAAAAGAAATGCACTCAGGGGGCTTGTGTCTGGGTCAGCTGACTCTCGATAGCCAATTGTGCACCCCTCGGAGCCTTGGGTTTCTTCTATCAGACTTTGCATCAAACCCAAGCCCGCACATTCGCATGAACGAAAGTGCACACACAAAGACACGCGCACAAAACATCAAACCCAAACTCCAGCTCTGTGACTCAGAGCGCGCCTCTAGCATAAACACTCACACAACCTCTCTCTGCTGCTTGCTGGTTCTCAGCTGTCATGCATTATTAATACCATCCACTTTTCAACACACACACACACAAAAAAATCAACTCTCTGTGGACTTCAGGACGTGCCATTGAAAAGCATCTTTCTGCACAAAGCATCCATGGTCAGAGTGAACCCAATCCCTCTTCCACACACACACACACAACTATGAGGCGTGTGTATTAAGAGGATTGATTGTTTGGATCCCTAACACCTAAGTAAGACATAACTCACTGCCCCTCCTGTGATGCAATGTGCTGCAATCTAAGCCCAGTGTTCTCAGCCCACCTGAGCATTAATGTGTGCACAATCCGCGCGCTTCTCTACTTTTTTAGTGTGTGTGTGCTGGCTAAGGCCAGGTTGGTTGCCAGGCAACACAAGCCGTCCTCAATGGAGTAGATGAAGACTCGTTTCAAACAAGCCCAACAGACTCATACTGACATAGTTTGGGAGTCATTAGCAACAACTTGACTTACACATTGAGGCAAACGCACTCTGCTGCAGTAGTGAGGGTATAGTGGGTCTGACCTAGTTCTCAAACAAAGATACTGACTCCACTGCACACCTATGCGTGTCAGTGTGCACCAGAATCAGTATATCAGGGCGTGAGCAAATCATTGAACTCGTACACAAAAACCAGCGGAGGCAGAGGGGTGAAATGTGAAAAGAAGCCCGTATGACATCGGTGTCACTCCGCAATGCCATCCATCCAGCTCACATATCCATTATTGAAGCCTGAGGCTTAGTTCACAGCCATCAGCCTTCTATTATTTATGTCTGAAGCAGCTGGTGCTTCATACATAGAGGAACAAGTCTCTGTGGGAGTCTGGATGCGAGAGAGAAAGTAAGCTGCGGGTAGTGGGGCTCACTATTTCCATGGCAACTTGTATCACTGAGAAAAAAAAAATCAGTGCGGCAAGCTTTCAGTTTTATAACACAGAAGAAGAACTGCAGCAGACACAGATTCCCACAAAGAGCTTGATAAAATCTGAACATTAGAGCAAAACAAATCTATAGATCTGCTTCTCTGATTGATTCGCTCTGCAGCTGAAACCCCAGTAAGTACATTTCACCAGCCATCATGTTTCACAGCTGTCCCATTTGCATTAGTTTTTTTTAACACTTCAATGGCATTTTAAACTTTCAATTCTCATTTGCATTAGTTTACAAAACGTTAATACATCCTCCATTAGCACAAACATTTATTCTCCTGTAATCTAGAAGGGACCACTTAGTTGGAAACTTGACACCGAATCAATTGAAGGAAGGAAAAAAGCATTCAGTCCATTACATATTTCAAGAGTCAGTTTTTCTTTCCCCACATACGTGTCCATACAGACACTTTAGGAATGAAAGAAAATCAAACAACAGGGCAAGAGTAAAAGTACAACCTGAGGAAGCACCAAACGATTAATTCAATTGTACAGCCATGTGTTTTACGGGAACTTTTTCCTTTCTTTGTATTGATATACGTTTTTAAGCCTAAGGTTCATTGCAATAAATCCAGATTAATAATGGCGCTGTTGACTTCATTTGATGATCTTGACTAAATTGTGGAAAAAGATGGGAAACCTTTTATCTCCCTTTCACCTTTGAGCCTTCATCCTCATTCAGTTTCCCCTTTTATTGTGTTGTTATTTTCAGTTCATTATGTTTTATGTATTAGATTTTTTTACTTTGATTTGCTTCAGGATAGGTAATGACAAATTAATCAACTCGCCATGCCTTAAGTAGTATGAAACAATCACATTCCTGCTGACATATCTTGCTGTTTCTATATAGACGCTAATCCTCTTAGTTCAAAAAGAAACTTATCAAAGGAAATTACCACATTTTAAATACCTATTGTCACACCAAACGCACACTGCAGTGCAGTGATAAGACTGAAGAATTACATCTGAACAGCAGATATGACCACACACGACAAGGTGATGCAGACAGTCTGACAAAGTGACGGTGCTCTGACCTGCGTTGTTGTACCCTTATTCCTGTTTGTGGCCGTGGTGGTTGTGATGTCGCTGATGGAGGGGGCGGAGTCAGAGCGGTTGCCTCCAGCTGCCGCGCTGGACTGCGGGGTGATGGAGGAAGATGGCATGTCGCCGACCAGCCGAGCGCTTCCCTCCACTTTGATGTGAGGGTGTCCCTCTGCTGCCATGTTCAGGATGCGGAGGCCATTGTAATAAAGGCCAGAGAGCTGGCCCTGGAACATGGCGGCCCCTCGCTCGCCTCCCCCAACACGCACTGTCGTCTGGCTATTGAAGATGGTCAGCTGGCGACCTACACAATCACACCAAACCCAACCAAGCACACCAGGGCGAACCAAGAGGAAAAGTGGACAAGCACGCGCAAACAGTCACACAAACACACACACACACATACCAGTGGTCACATACGTGCAGCCACACACACACAAAAGTGTTTGAGTGTTACACAATCCACCACCTCCAAGGCATGGTGAGAGGATGGGATAGATTAAGCATGGCAGAGAAAAATCGAAGCCGTGGAGAACTGTGGAGCAGACTGAGGGAGATAAGAGTGAAGACAGAAAACAGAAGAGGAGGGGACTGAAAAGTCGAGGAGGAGGATGAAGAGGCAAAGAATAGACGGCGAGGAAAAAGGCAGCGGATAAGAGAAGTCAGAGGGCCCTGAGAAGACAGGGCTGACGGATGGTTGCTATGGTGATGGCTGTGCAGCACAACACTGTATTTGAAGGAGCAACAGACAGGCAGACAGAGAGACAGAGATCTAGAGAACAGTTGTCACAGCCCTATAAAGCATGCACAGGTCATAAGCTCTAGCACTGCTCACTGTTAAAGGGACTAGAGGCTAATTTAAGCAGCTCTGCTGAAGTTTAGGAGGAAAACTTTTACATTTTTTCAAAAACCATTACTCTATTAGTCATTTCAAATTTACATAATTCTTACATGTCACAATACTTTGCATATACTTTAATTTGATTACAAATGTTTTTCAACAGATAATCTTTAGTAAATGCTTTATTGTTTACAATAAGATAATGAACAATTATTTACCAGTCTTAATAAAGCATCTTTTATCAGTACTTCTTTTCTATTTTCTGATTTATTCACATTTAAATCTCTCCATCGTCCCTTTAACCTGATATTATCAGATACACACTAACAAGATACGTTCACAGGCACTACAGTTTACACAGTATTACACACTACAGCTGCCCAACTTTTAAATACTTAGTTATGGATTTAGATTTTTAGATGTTAGTTGATGGTGCACAATATAATATAATCAACTGTCTTCATATTCTATTTTTTAAGCTCAAAGTTTTAAGGAATTTTAATCAGGGTTTTTACCTTTGTCGAGTAGCCAATCGTCAACTACTCGACCGAGCCGATAGGGGATTCGCTGTCTGGCGATGGCCAGGCGCTCGTTATCAATGTTGCCTTTAATTTAGAGATGAAAACACAGTAGTAATTACGCACATCCATACGTGGTACAGGAGCTGGATACAAAAAGAACAGCAATGAAAAGAAAGTAATGGTCTGCTCATAGTTAGCATGCCACTTTGTTAAGGTAAGCTTGGTGTTATAAGAGAAGAGGAGTTGCATTCACTATGTTTCCAGTGAGCGGACTTTTACTCTCTGTTCATTGGGTTTAATTTAAAGAAACATTTCAGGGGTTAACAACTGCAAGAGCACAGGGAAATAATGTTACAGCTGCCACATAGTATCTGGATGACTCATTGAGTTTAGTGCTACATACAGGAAGAACCCTTACACACACCTCACAACAACTGGCATTTAGCATTTTATCTACCTCAAGGTGTTAAAGACTGCTACCTAAGATTACCACTTTATATGTAAAAGCAAACCAATATCAAAACAAAAACTATATTCAACAAAATACACTTTTTTCTTTTTCTTATTTTTTCTCTCTAGTTAAACATCTACCTCAAAATATGACAAGTTTTTAAATTATTATTTGTCAAGAAAATGCACCAACTGTTATTATTTTCTTTTATGGTGAGAAAAACCACTGACTCTTGAATTAACTATTTTCATGAATTACCTTTAACACTATTTAACAGGCCTAACATAACATAGCTGGCTAGTAGACATGCTATTGTAATAACTCATTTTATGGTTTAAAAAGTCATGTTTCTTGTCAGATCACACATGGTTCATTTCAAACACAATAACATAAACAAAGCTGCAATCATATTCCTCAACCTCAGTGTTCGAAAAGAGACGTCGAAAGGAACACTGATGTGGTTCATCAATCAGGAAGAGGTGGGCTGATTTGGACCGAGCTGTAGTGAGCTCTGCCTCAGCACAGGCAGCGCTGGGATGAGTCAGTAAGCTGGGCTTATGTGGGCGGTTCAGGGCCTACCTGAGGGGTAGCGCTCTATGACCGGCAGGTCGTCCAGCTGGAGGGTTGCATTGCCACCACTGCGGGTGAACCGGATAATGTGGTACTTCCCATCGTTGACAAACTTGGTGCTCTCCTCGATGTTGATATCATCAGTACCAACATTGAACACCACCCTAATGTTGCCTTTGTCCTGAGGAGGAAGGATATGATGATTCTCATCAGATACAGGCAAGTTTAGCAGAGGAAGAGATGGTTTCTTTCTTGTTTTTCTGTTTGAACTGGGTGTGAATGGTTTTGAATGCAGAAAAAGTTGGATGATCCCATCACAGTTTTGCTTAGGATTGAAAGAACAACTAACTTGAGCTGCTCAAAAACACCTTATACCTTCCAAGCAACATTCAAGAGAAAAGGCTAATGCACAGAATTAAAATAACATAATTATTAACAAAAATACAAGTGGAATGAAGCGGCAGACTTCATAATGCTTCAGATCTATTTCTGATATTTTACAGTTATGCCAGTCAATAAAAATGAATAAGATTTCTTGCCTAAAAAAGTAAAAAATAAACCACCAAGACTAATTTATTCTGTATTTAAAAACATGCTGAATTATAATCGGTAAAAGCATGACCAGTGTTCCTGCTCAAGTGCCTATCTGTGTAGCACTTTCTTTCAGTGACTGCTAATAATGACTGTGTGCCAGTAATGAAAGCAATATAATGAACCATTTAAATCAAGCAATGTACCACTAAGTATGTCAGGCAACTGTTTCACAAATAGCAAAATTATTTTTAAGTTGTCATATTTTTTCTATTAGAATAAAGGGATGTGTCTTTTTTATACTTTAGATATCTAACATGAATTTTTATTCATGTTAGATACTATTTAACATTGTTCGAATTCTCAATGAGAAAATGTTAAATGATTGAAGAATTACCATGTTTGCAGGTTTTTCTATAATTCAGACTCATATAGTAGAGACGATATGGATTTACAACATTTACTGATAACTTGAATAAAAGTCAAACATAGACGTGGCTTTTGGCTTACTGTTTAAAAAGGCTTGTGTGAACTTACTATTTGCAGCTGAAGGTAGTCTCCCAGGCCAGATGCACTGTCCACTCGGAGAAGGACCGCGTGTTTCTGTTGGGTGCTGAAGCCGAGGGCGAGTCGGTCTGCCCTGGTGCTGGGGCGTTCATTAGGCGGCCAGGTGTAAACCACCACACCTCCGTCACGGCCAAAGATATAAGTGGTGCCGGCTGGGTCGTATGGAGATAAAACACATTTTCACACACATCCACATATAGCAGCTCTACCTTTGTCAAAATGCTTCATACACAGAGCCCATATGGCAAAATGAACTATGATTAATATTTTTTAAATGTCACATCTGAATGTCCACCCGTGTTCTGGCTGTTCCTCCCACAGTCTTGAAAAAAATCTGGCTTCCCAAATTAGAAAACCCTTCAGTGAAAAGCTGAAGTGACTCAGAAACGAACAACTCATACAATATTTTGGTCCATGGAGTGGAGATAAAAACCATTATGCCTCTAAAGTTCTAATCACAGCTGCAGAAGTTTCTTTGTTTTTAAAGAGGATAATGCAGAGATGATTTCATTTGAAGCTATAGACACGGCAGATTAAAACAGACAGATAAATAGGTAGTTTTTATGACATTTTAAGAAGAATTGAGAGTGCCCTCTTGTGGAGGATCTGACTTGTGCATTATGGGGTTAATGATATCTTATAGACTTTATAAGCTGATTCAGACAAACACGGTCAAAATAAAAAAGTACCTGTTCCTGAGGTATAATAAAATATGGCTTACCATCATTGCACAGGGGTCCAGCATATGAGGTCATGCTGCAATCACAGGTGAAGCCCTCCCACTGCTGCAAGCAAACTCCCTGATTTGAGCAGGAGTCTTCTTGACACGTGGTGCTGGGACCTGCAATGACAGATACAGTGGGATGGAGAAGTTTAGAGGTTGGAAGAGAATAAAAACACAGTGTTTTGGTTTTGTCTGCAGCCCATTGTGTTCACAATATTCTGACGGGAAAGTGTGGTTATTTTTGGACCACATTTCCTTGAAACATTTTGAAGTTTGATCACAGGAAGCTTTGGTGTGAGACAAGGATTACGTGGATAGGCCCCTATTCTTAAGCCTTACACAAACAAAATGGATGTTGTATCATCCAAATAAATGGAAATCAACCTAGTGTGGAGTTTTACTTGATAGAAAAAGGAAAATATGGAGATCATGCAAGCGGTGAGGCTAGATGTGGGGCAAAGACAAGAGAGGGGACTAAACATGAGAGAAAGGGTTATGTTTAAAGGTCGTCAACTCAATACTGTCTTCGGCAGTCTCCCACCTTTCTCTATCAGCCTCGTGCCAAAAACCACACAGAGGGAGAATGTCAGCTCCAAACTTAGTTCTCCTTCACTGTACTTCCAACATGAGGCATGAGGAAAGGGTGTGAAATGATTCACCGGCTGAGTATTGAAGTTTAGGTTTAGAGTCAGTAGGACGGTTTGGAAAGCATGCAGCTAAGCAACCTGGGTGGTGGAGTGGTGGTCAACTGAAGTCAAGCAGTAGTAATGTGTCTAACGTGATGGAATCACTACGGTGGCTGGGAGAGGACAAATCAAATCTGACCCTTGACTCTGGATCACCGGGATCCACACAACACTGGACATCACTGGGTAATTTCAACACACTCACACACATTTCTGCACCCTTCTCTCTCTTTCTTTCTCTCTCTCTCCCTCTCCCTCTCTCTCTTTCTCTCTCTCACACACACACACACACGTGTCTCACATGCTCACACAAAGTGATATACCTTGCAAGTCAGCTTTCATCAATGTAACTTTTGTCAGCCAAACAAAAAAGCAAACAAGCAAATTAAGTTAGATGGTTAGTTAATGCACACAGATGCCTGTGAACAGTTGAAAGAGTGGGACAGAGAGAAAAAAACACAATGTGCTGAAAGACTCAGGACAAGATGAAAAGACAGAGAGCAAAAAATTACATCTGACAGACTAAGAGCTTGGTTAGTGGGTTATCCTAACAGCAGAGAGAATGACTTAAATGAAAACTGAAAGAAAAAGCAGTTTGGACACGGGGGCCGGCGCAGATCTACTGGTGTGTTTGGGCCTCACCTTCACAACCTCTCTCCACTTGCCCCATGGTTGTCAATGCATCCGCCAAAAGGTCCGGAAGCCGACCATTTAGGTCAACCGTAGCTAAGCAACCTTGAAATCCCTCACGAGAGTGGACCAGCTTAGGCAGTTCTCTGTACATCTCTTTGGAAACACCCCCAATGTACAGATCACCTGTTCAGGAGCGACACGAGGAAACAACATATGGAACCAACGATTGATACATTGTAGATTGCTCAAACTGTGAAAAGAATTTCTCATTATTTCTGAGCTCATGGCCTTTCAATTGTTTATCTCACCAGCAGCACAAACCTCAAATTTATTCAGTTTGTAGTGATATGGCACCAATGACTATTTGGCAGTGGATTTCTGTCAGTTGTACTTGATAAATTAGAAACAATTAATCGATTATGCATGGCGTTACCCATTAATTTTCCAGCGGGAACTATGTTTAATTGCTTTTTTTAATCAGAGTTTCTCTATAAAATAGATACCATTCTCATGTCTATATGGTAATATGTAGCTAACGCCCGAGGATAGTTAACTTAGTTTAGTACAAAGACGGAAAAGGAGACGCGGGAAATTTGGCTTTATCAAAAGGGAACAGAAACCACCTCCAAGCTCATTGGTGAGGAAATAGTCTGTCTCTCTCATGAAATAGCAAATTTGTTTTTAGACTTTGGTTTTGCACTGATTAAAAAACAAAACAAGAGGGTGTTTATCTTCAAGTACTAAAGGGTTTGGTTTTTCCTTTAACCCACTAATCATCTCAGGACTAATGAGCGTTATTAAAAGTACAAGTGCATAAGATAGACAAATGGAATTCTATAGTTCTAAAATACATAAAACATGTCACTGTTTTAATTTCTTCATACCCTTTAAGTCAAGGTTTTTGGCACCCATCGTGGTCTGTGTAGTAACTTTGGTGTCAATCTTGACTGTGTGGAGATTGTTGGTATCCCGGGAAATGTGCACATTATGCCAGTGGTTATCATTAAGAGGACTGTTTGAGTTGCCCTTGATCAAGTGTGCTCCATTGCCCAGGTCTGAGATGTAATGAAGATAGCTGGGGGAAGAAATAGAGGGAGGAGGAGGAGACGGAGAAGAAAGTGATAAGCGTTAAACAAGTGAGAAGGAGAGGGCAGATTAACTGTAGTTGTGATAAAGAGCACAGGGTCATAAGCTTCAGGACATTATTGCAATCTGAAATACCACATCAAAAAAGAGCTGCTTTTTTCACATTATATATTCCACAACCTCAGTTTTTCTTTTTATGTTCAAGGAAAACATACTCAAGAATACATCTCTCTAAAAGTGTAACATTATACATGCACTTTATTTTCAGCAGAATGTCTTCTACTTAAACAAAGAACAACATATTAATGCTGTAGTTAATCATTACAATGCATATCAAATTTGAGGATACTGCACAGACTGAATAATAAGATATAAAAATACCTAAAAAATATCAAAGTCACAATTATCCAGCTCACCCTTTAACTAGTTCTATGACTATGAAGTCATTGCCATCTCCTCTGTTGAAGATAATTAGACCATCTGGGGACGTAGTCTTGAACTGCATGAAGAGATGCATGGAGTAATAAGCCTGCAGTGTGGGCAGTGTGACGAAACTGGAGCGGGACCGGAAGGTTATGGGGTCAGACACGATGCTCTTATAGCCAATAACAGCGTTGAGCTCGCAATAGTCGATGTCGCCATTCTTGCACAGGTCAATGTAGGGCATGCCGTTTAGCGTCAGGCCCTGAAGGTGGCCAATGAAATTGGAAGGCACGGCAGGCATGAAGCGCTTCTCCGTCACAATACCCGTCTCCACGTTGTGCAACTCCAGCTGGGTGTGGTCTCCCGCCATCTGACCTGGTGGTGGGGGTAAACTTCACATGTGAGGGCCATGGACAAATGGGTTTCAAGTGGAACTGTTCCATACCAACACTAATGCCAATGCTATTGTTTATTTAAATAAGAGCAACACTTCCACACAATGGAAACACGTGAAGCAAACTCATTATTCTCCCATAGGTACAGAAGCTCTCTAAAATCAATCATAAAGACATTTTTACAATAAACACAAGATGTCCCACAACACGCGTATCGAAGAACCTGATATATGTTTTAATGGGGGAAAATAAAAAGATAAATTAGGCTGCTGCAGTTACCTTCAACAGGCTGCAGGTCATCCACGGTGAGTATGAGGCTTTTTCCACGCCGGACTACCCTCACCGTGTGCCACTCATTATCATTGAGGTTTGACCCAGCAAAGATGGTTTCTGGGCCTTTACCTACACATAGCCCAGAGCACCATTAACACAATACTCAAAGAACAGGCAAGAGACAGAGGTGTAGAGAGACAGGAGAAGAGAAGCAGAGAGCCAGCTAGGTTGAATCAAGATTTAAGGACAGAAACTGAGGACATGGAAGTCAGTAGCGGAAGGGAAAGGGACCATACATATCCTGGGGAGACAAACATTTTGTCAACACACGCACACACGCATACAAACTCAGACAGACAAGTGTACTTGCAAATGGACCAGAGAGATAGATTATAAGCCAAACAGATGCATATTTATACATATATGAATGCTTTGGGCTGTGAGACTAAGACTGAGTCACGACAGGCCCACGCTGAGACAACCCATCCGTGGACAGATCACACGACCATGAAGACCACGTACAACCCACTCAAGCACACACTACACTGACTGCCCTTAAACCCTCTAACCTCCGCACATGTTCCAAGTTGGTGCGGCCGCATTTTTTTCTACTTTTTGAACAGGAGTGCAATGCTGCAGTCGACCTCACGGTGGCACTGCACACACAGAGGAGTCTCGGGGTACTCTCCAAGGTGCTGATGTGCAGCAGAATGAAAGGGGCTGTGTTGTCCTCATATGATGGCTCTCTCTCTGCCCATCTACCACCTCGTATCTTTATATACTTGACTGCACACATTTGACAGACTGACAGTGTCCTTTTGCTCTTTCTCTTCACAAGCACCCCTCCAACCCAACCTTGAACACAACACCCCCACCTCCCGACACACACATGCACATTGCCCGCTTCTTTCTTCCAACCGCTTTTTTGGCTTGAGGAGTGTGACTGAGTCTGCTCACAGTGACCTATAGGAGGTAATGGTGGTGTGGGGTGAGAAGTAAAATGACCCGAACACATTCTGCTACAGAAAATGTCAAGCGTGTCGGCATCAGTTGCGGAGGCAGGCAGGCACGCCGGCAGGCAGGAAGACACACAAATACACAGGTAGAGAAGTAAAGAAAGATGCTGATGCTTAAACGTAATTAAACAAATATGAGGGGTCGATCAAAATGGATATGGCAGCGTGGAATGCAAGGGTGTGTGTCTGAAAGCTGAAAGTGCATTAGGAGAGAACACAGGGTTCCCCTGAGGAGACTCAGCTGTGCTCTGGGCATGAGCATCTCATCTTGTTACCATGGATCACTGCCTAGGACTGAATAAGGGAGAGAATATGTGTACACTTTTGTGAGTTTACGAGTTTTTCTGCATGTATGTGTATTGTTGCACATGTAACTGAGTACTCAAACAATGTGCAGACTAAAATGAGAGGGAGGCAGTGATCTGTCTCAACCTGGGAGTAGAGAGAGGCACAAACAAAGTTGAACGTGTACCTATTTGGATCAGCATCGAAAGAGTATCGAAAACACTGAGCCGAAATGAATGGTGAGCTACTAGACTGTCTGCACTCTGTCAGGTTAAAGCAAACAGCAGAAAGAACAGCAACTTAAATACTAGGCCAAGAGAGGCTTTTTGCATTCATTCAAAGTATCATTAGCTACTGAAGATAAGTATATTGAAAATAAAAATAACAAATGTATTCATATTTCATTAGTTCCAAATAACAAACAGCTTTTCTGAAAGATAAGCGTAACATTTCTGCAATGCCAAGGCTTTTGCTTGACTGCTGAGTAGACTTTTTAGTGTTGCCTTGCTGTTAAATTATTTTTTTCTTCCATTTTGAATAAGATATGTATAATTTATTGTATGCACAGTGTGCCAGAAAAGTGGCTGCCTACTGAAATGTTCATTGAGACAACCGGTCTAAAATTGGCCAGCAGACATGCAGAATAGCAGCAGCGCTGTGTGGCTAGTAGGGTTTCTATGGCAACTGCAGTCGTCCATTTCACCACCTCTATGCCATCACAGAGTATTTGCCTCCTTCTATCTCACTCCCCTGCGCTCTCTGTGGTCGTGACAGAGAGGAACTCCACGTGATGGAATTAAACTTCATCAGGGATTCAGCTCCACTCACAGCAGTATGAACAGAAAACACAAATCACACGGGAATACACACAGGCTAGATACAGTCGGCCAGTGACGATAATGCGGACTGCACAGCCGCAACGTTAAACGCTACACAAAAATCTCTCATCTAAAGTGTAGACACGAACAAAAACGAGGTAAAGAGAGTAACCCAGCAGACGTTGGGATTAAGGTGCAACATCAAGAGACATTAAGAGGAATTACACATCTTTTGTCCCTGGCATGAAGGAGAAGTAATTAGCCTGCACATCTGAGTTGCATTTTTCCACCTGCTACCTCTCTTTGTCTCTTTAGCTCTTCCTTTTTTTTTTTTTTTACAGCCAACTCCATTGAAACACCTCCCACTCACATTCTCTCTTCCTCTTTTCTCTTTCCTTAAGTCACTCTTCCTTTCATCCCACCCCCCATCCTCTCATCCATCTATTCTTATTTAAAATGGCCGACCAGAAAACCCTGGCCCTCAGCAAAAATTGCACCTCTCCTGCAGTGAAGCTGAACATGCAGACAACAACACCCATACGTACGCCTCCCCTGTCCAATGTACACACTCATACACACACAGACACTTGTGTATCTACATACAGACACATGGTACAAAGATATGATGAGATGAACCAACAGGACAAAGCTAGTGAGAAATAGTCAGACACATTAAAAGCACACACACGTACTGAGGAAGAAGAGGGAGGGGGAGAAGTTAGGTGAGATGGAGGATCACTTACTGGCTGTACAGTTTATCCTGATACAGTCTGGAGGGAGAGCAGAGCAGAGGGTTAATGCTGCACACACAGACATACTCTCCACGCCCTGGGGACGCACACATCGACACACCCTGCACATACTGTATTTTAGTGCATATGTGCACACACTGCTGAGAAAACACACACATTTGCTTTTGTTCCAGGTCCGTAATACAGACTGTGTGTTTTCTTACAACAGTGTGCGGTAAACTGAATTCCCACCAAAATCAAAGTCTGTAAATTTAGTTTGAAAAAAAAATTCAAACGTATCAAGCTTTGCATTTTGTCACAAAATGAGCAAAATGAGCTCATTGGCCACTCTGACCTGGGCGACACTTTCAGTCATGTGATGGGTCATGTGATTCAGTTTGTCTAATGACACTGAACACATCCCAGTAGTTTAGTCGCCCAGCCAGAGCAAAACTTGTGGGCAAATGCTTGACAGATTTAAGCCCCTTTGTTGCCCCTGATGCTTCGGTGTGTCGTGTGGCGTCAACCACGGAGAGGACGTGGCTGCAGACAACCAGAGACCAACACATGCACCCCTCTGTAAGGACGTGTGTTAACTTGTGAATTTGCGTGAGTGTGTGAAAGAGATGGCTGAAAATGAACCAAAACATTAGAAATGAACAAAAAAGTAGAGTAGCTGGTATATGTGTGGCTCTATTTGCTTGTGTTTGGATACATATTCTGTCTTTCGGCATTGATTTTTTTGAAGATGTTGGGGATGCACAGGTCTGCTGGGAGTAAGCAGAGAATGCAGCTTGGGGCTTGACCCTCTGTTCAACACAAAAATCTTCATTTATTCATGTGTGTTTGTGTACGTGTGAGTGTCTGCATTTTCACAGAATAATTGGACAAAAATGCCAAAATGAGGCAAAACCAGTGCAATCTTGTCTTGAATAATGGTGGCATTATAAGCTTATTTTACAAACAAAGAACAGAATGATTAATCAACATTCACTGACATTTACTGGGAGGAAATAGCCAAGAGGCCAGTAAGAGCTGCATTCCCCTTACAGGTACTTAGAATATGTTTAAGATTCTGTTTGAATATTGCGCACGGGTGTACCTAAGTTGACAGTGAGTCGAACACGGCCCCCATCCAGCTCTAGACGGAGGGTGTCTGCGGAGTTACGGGATGTGGTTGCCATGAGAACGCCATAGGCCCTCTGGGAGCGAAAGCGTAGCGAGACGTCCTCTGCCTCAGTGTGCATCGCTACAGGCAGCTGCACCTTCATAAACTTACTGCCATCGTAGGAGAGGATGGTTGCATCTGTAACAGAAGCACACAGAAGGGCCGATAAGACAGCGATGACCAGGGAAAACATGATATGACAGAGGTAGTGGTAGATGGTGGAAGAAGAGAAGTTGGAGGTAAATAAGTGGGTAAATATGAAGCATTTCCACAAAGGCAGAATCAAATCTGAGCCGGAAAAGGTATTTCACAGTGTGGCTACGCTCGACTTGTTCACCCAGCTTGATACGTTGGGACTCGAAAAACCTTCTTCCTACTAAATGATCCCCTAATTTTTCATCCCCAATTCATCCTCACTGCCTTGCCTTAGAGAAGAGAGTGCAAAAATAGCCACAGCTGGTTGGTTGGCCCTGTTATCCAGTTCAATCAGAATGCTCGGTGGTGAGTGTATTAGCCACCGCTGCTGACATCCAGGACCCTGGAGTCATAATGTAACAAGCTCAGGTGATCCCACTTTAATGTCTTTTGCATACTTATTTACATATTCATAATCTTTTCCCCTTGCTCCCTGCTGGGGCCAATCCCTGACCAGTAAACTGTTTACCTCTGAGAACCCTGATTTTATTGGCCAATTACATACACAGCGAAACACACTCTGCATGCCGCTGTGTCGCTCTCTTTCCTCTCTGCCTTCTTGCCTACATCCTATGTCTCCCCGCACAATTCCTCTTTCGTTTTAGCTCGCCTCGTTTCTGTGGGAGACGGTTGAAGCCGAGGCAAAAAAAAAAAACAAGAGAACAGGAAGAGAGGAAGGCGTCATGAATACAGATGAGCTGAGAAGGAGGGAAAAAGAGAGATAGTCTGTGTTTGCATGTGTGTGTGTGTGTGCGTGCATGTAAGAATAAGTGAGCGAATTTTAAGTGTGAACAGAGGATGGTTTAGTAAAGTGAGAGCAAGCGGAGAGAAAATAAGGACAGAGCACGAAAGAGAAACAGGAGGGGGAAGAGACAGCAAAGCTCTTGGCTAAAATGCAAATGAACCCTCATTAACTTGAGGAAAAAAGAAGGTGGTTGGCCTGTTATATCACAGATAACATAACTAACAGCCACACATGCACCCGTCCTGGCACACACACACACACACATGCTTGCATTTTTGATTAGGGAGACAGCTGACTAAATTTTCCTCACCACAGCACCTGACTCACTACCAGGCAAACAGAGCATAGAGAGTTGGTGTAAAGGAAGTGCGCTGGCCCGTTTGTGCCAGGGAATTAAAAAGAAGATGACAGCAGTATGTGAAGTCGCTGTAACAAATTGTTAGCTGCCTGTAGCCTGAACCAGATGGATCGTGCCAATAGAACAAGTAAAGGATGACACCAGAGGCATTCTATATTTTTTGCCAACGACGGTACCCTCAAATGCCTGTCACCGCTTATACATTTAACTCTATATGCTTTGTGCCTTATCCTTTCTCTGGTACACCATGTTTCCTAAAGTCTAGTTTCTATAGACTGATCATTCTCACAAGTAATGTAAACAGAAAACCAAATCAAATCAGCGTGTTCTGTAACAACCACTTGTCAACTGTAGCAGCTGTTCTGGTTGCAGGAAGCAAAGCAGCTTTTGGAACTGTTTACTGTTAAGAATATCTTTTGTTTTGCATCCTCATTGCACGAGGTGGTGACAAAGCACTCAGAAAGGTATCCCTAAAAAAAAAAAAAAAGTTTTTTCCCGTCTGACCTTTGGTTAACAATTATAGTTGGTAATTGTACATTTTTTAATCTTAACGCATGTCCAAACCAATAAATAAATTTATTTATCTAAGATAGATAGATAGATAGGTAGATGCGCATCAAGCATAACACCCACTCCATCCTCTTCTCCAAATATGGTCATTTCCAGATGACATCATTATGACTACGTGTTAATCTTATACATACATCATATTGCTTAATTTTAATGCATTTGCAGTAGTTTGATAAATGACTGTAATTGATTAAAAAAAACATTGAAAGAAAAGCAAATCTTTATATAATCAATTTTTGAAAGATTTCAGTGACGTATTCTCTGAAATTCCTGATTCAATATTCTGTTATATAGTACCTGTGGCTTTTAAAATCATCAAATAAGGCATAATGATATTCAAAATGAGTAGCAACAAAATAAAAATTCATCTCAGAGCTAAAGCGTGACGACCATGCTCGTTCATTAAAGAGGAGAGAGGGGGAACAAAGGAGAGTGGGAGAATGAGGGAGGGAAAAAGGGATAGAGAAACCGCAGGTATGAGGCATAAACACGGCCAATCACTCTCTCCATCTGCTTCTCCATCTGTGCTTCCTTTAATCCACCGAACCACCAGTTAGTGACCCCTCAATGCACACAGAGAGGGATGAAGAAAGATTTAGACAGGAAGATGGAGCTAAGAAAAAGAAAAAGCGGGTGCACTGCGGTTGTTTGTCCTCTGAAATAAAACATTTCATATCAACACCTTTCAGCGAAGCAGTAGGCGTCTTTGTACTGTATATGTTCAGTTAGATGATAGTAAATCATTACTTGAGACGCATCAGCAGTTGTGACACAAACAACATTTCTTCTCTTCTTCTTGTCTGACTCCATCTCGCTGCTCTCCACAGGCCCGTATCAGCCCCCCCACCACTCTTACCCACTTGCCATTTCTCTTTCGATATGAATTCATACCTCTTCTCATAACTCTGCCCCTCTGTCAGATTTTCTATTCCCATCTCCCATTCCCCCTTTTCTCCTCACCTGCTGTCATATGGAGGTTCCAGCTCGGTGAATCCACCCTCCTCTGTCAGAGCTTCTGCTCCCTGCTTTCTGCACATTTCCTCTCTCATCGATTGCCAGTCACTACATCTACAGCAGCCCAATAGTCCTGTCTGCAGCTATGCTTCCTCCCACCTCTTCTCTTTCACCTTTGGTCCTCATCTTCATTCCCTGCCTGCATTTTACTACTCTGCTTCTGACACAGAAAAATGTGTAATTGTGAATATAAAAAAGATGGAGCCAAAAATAGAAAACCAACACTGTTATTATTTTGGTTGCTGGGATTTTTTTTCTTGGCCTTCTTTTCTTTCTCCACCTATAAAAAAAATCTATTCCCAGGCTGCTGTCCCCTTTTCATTTGCAGCCTTCTGTTTGCATCACAGGGAATGCATTGGAGAGTAAACCTACCTAAACTCAGTTTCTGTTTTTTTATTTTTTTATTTGAATAAGACTTTAGTCATATTTTTATCTACCATAAATTTTTATGAGGGTACCTTTTTACCGCATCAGAGTAAGTACTGTCATGCTGATGTAATCTGTTAGGAAGGGGGATTTAGGGAGGAAAAGCATAACTCATAGGTACAACGAATAAAAATTTTACTACCCAATATAACTGACGATCATAATATATTTCCAGCAGTTTAATGGGGTTATTTCTGACTATAAGCCTTCACACTTTCCATCCCACGTCATCTGTCCTCTGTCAGTCATTCCTTTGGCATTTCTCATAGTTCTCAAGACAAAAAGGACATGACAAGCTGTCATTCTACATCATAGCATTTTATGAATCATCAAATAATGTTGCTGTTTAGTGATTCCTTTAAGTTGGCTTATTCATCTGTGCTTTGAGAATAAATCATTATCATTTCTGCCTGTGACAATCCAGTATGACAAAAGTCCAGTTTAAAGCGTTATTTCCGTCCTCTGCACTGTTTTCCTCACCTCTCTCACAGGAGCGTCCTAGGTAGCCCGTCCCAGAGCAGTCACAGACGTAGCGATTCCAGCCTTCCCTACAGTTGCCGTTGTGCTGGCATGGGTTGGATAGGCACTGTTTGGGTGGCTCTTTGGAGCACGAGGGCTTCACCCCCACTGCCTTCTGAGCTTCAGCTAGTCTTCGGATGTCTTTGCTTTGTCCATCCACAAACAGGTCTCTGATGCAGCCCACATAGCCATAGTTCAACAGAGCCGTCCACACCTGAAGAGGAAATCACCAGTGTTGGCTTGAGTTTTTTGCATTCATGAGAATCCAAATGGTCTTGTGTTATTATATTTTGAAATTTTCTTAAAGTATAAATCAGATGGTTGACTGAAATTTATCTTTAACAATAATTATTTTAAATAGGTTTTTCTTTAGAAAATAATCCGGAAAAATTGTGTTGTTTTATCTGGAAGCATTTTTTATCTATCATTTTCATGTTCCTATTAAAAGTTCTAATACACAGGATTGTCTGATCAGATGGGACCTTCAGGTATTTGCTTTATTATGTTGAAAAGTTGAAGCTTGCTTACATATTTTTGTTTGAAAATCAACCAAATCCGGATGGTAAAGCATTTGCGGATGAACTATCATTAGCTTCAAAATTACCATTACTTAATGTGATCTAATATGTATTCAGATATGATTAAGAACCCTAAACAAAATAATAAATCGTAAATACATTATTACCTCAATTAATTTGATGAGGAAAGCCTGTTTCAAATATAAATGCTGTACTTACTTTAATATAGGAGGGCAGCAAATTTAGCCTTTGTAAAGTTAGGACCATGTAAAGTTGCACAGATTTCTTTATGAAAATGAAAAACTATCCTATCTTGGTTTACTAAACAACTCTATGTGTTATGTAAATATCAATCATCGTGTTACACACAGAAGACACAAAACACACAGACCTCTGTAGGGAAAATGAGTCCAGCGCGGTCCTCAGGTAGCCCTCCGAGGTACAAGGTGTCATCCAGGTCCAGAATTTCATTGTCTCCTGGAGCTGTGTATGCTGTCCTCACACTATTCACTGAGATGGTTCCTGAATACATCAAAACAACCTCAGCAATCATTACGACCTTCAGCGGGGACACTCTCATCACAATCATCAATGTCACAACCACAGCCACCATTATAACTGCCATCATCATTGTCTTGTCTCCCTTCTCTGTGCTCCTCATCATCATCAGCGCACAACAATTTTATAATCAGAGGCAACCCTGCAGACCTTAGTCATTTGTTAGCACCTTTGAAACTTGGGTGGGAAGTCATTTTTGGTCAAATTTGCAGCATAATGCAGCTCCAGTGTTCTGAACAGAAAGGCCAACTTTACCCCATGATGGGAGATTTTGACCAGTCATTCTTTTCAGAACATATTGAGTGATGCAGAGGTATAAATAGAATAAAAAGAACCGAAAGGGGATGAATGTGTTAAAAAAGGTCTCTCACCACAAAGCAAGGTTTGAATTTTGCGCTTGGACTTGATAAGACTTTGGCATTTAAGGCTGTATCACTAAATATTTTCCTGAATTTTCCAAAAGCCTGAAAATGAAGAAATTAATCCACATGCAAATGAGTGTAAATATTAGCTGAATATTAGGGAAGCAAACAGCTAAAATAAAATAGCAAAATATCTATTTTCCATTTAAATAAAAACCTAATAAGGTGTATCTGTTGTTTAACTCGGTTTGAAATAAATGAATAAACAGTGGGATTTTACGATCTAACTTAATGTTAGGTATAAACGTTCCTTTATATGAACTGTACAGGGACATCGATATCATAGGGAATCAAGCATATGAGATACAGAGGTAAAATTATTTTTTCATAGTCATAGTCATCTGTTGTTACACAGTAGCAGTCTAGGGCTTGTAAATAAAAAGAAAACCTTTCAATAGTGATTTCATGTCACAAAAAGCCAGCCTTGAAACGATTCTGAGTAATTTTGTTCTTAAATAACTTAAAATTATTCAACTGGATGCAAATAAAAAATATTTCAATTTAAAAAAGGCCATAAAATGTACCCACTCTTGCCATTTATATTTCCGGAGCTGGTGGGAGGGGGCTTGAACGGAGAAGAAAGGTGGAGGGAACTGCAGGAGGGATGCTTTCAAATTCTTATCTTTGTTGCTCTCTCTCATTTTTCTTTTCCTTTTCTAGACTTTTTCTGTCTCCAGCTGCTACTTCCAATATTTTGTCACCACTAAATCATTACACATTTATTTCTTACAATAGTTATAGTTACAGTTAACAAACGAAGACCCCCATTGAGAGAACTGGCAGCCTCTACTAAAGCCTGACTATAAATAACACAGACTCATAACAGACTTATAACAGTAATCATATTAGCTGTACAAACTACAAGGTTGATGAATATATATTGCAGTATTTAGCAAAGGGTATCAGGCAAATGTTTTAAAGGAATCTTAAAACAGTATTTGTGATCACTTGACGCAAATGCGGTCACAGTGTTAATTGATACAAGGATTACAAAACAATCCAAATGTTTTCTTATGATTAATCTGGCAGTAAATACAAATTATTCACTAAAAACACAAATTTCGAAATGTCCATACATCTATTTATCATCTTCCAGCTCAATCTTGTTGTGGTACTTGAGAGAGAGCTTACCTGAGCGTCCATCTCTCTGGAAGTCAACATGGTACCATTCTCCGTCGTTGACCTTTCTGTCAATGGCCTTTGTCTTGGTGGTTCCTGAACCCATGTCCAGCAGAAGGTACAGGTGCCCATCCAGCATCTCAATGGCAAAAAAATCCACCTGGATGTTCGACACACACAGCCTCAGTATACAACTTAATGTAGGGATAATGACACTCTTGGTGCATTGTTGTTCAGTTTCACCAAGAATTGGAGTTTGAAGAACATTGGACAATTTCACATTTTTGTTTGGTGCATGAGGCTTTAAATACTTTGGCCTCCATTTGCATAAACACTCTTTGACATTTTGTCAGTATGGGTTGCTATGTGCCACACTTTTAAGTAAACATTTCCAGAAAGGAGCGTATGAGTATAATTTATCTTTTTCCTTCAGAAAAACTTGTATCTTTCACCTTGATAGTGGGAGGGGTGCGTGGATCTTTGCGTTGCTGTTGTCGGGGTTTGCCATGGCTGAAAAGCATCAGCCCATTCGGCTCAGTGGTCCTGAAGTCAAATGATATTGATCCTGCCTTCTTCGCTGTCCACTTGCTCAGTGCCACGAAAGACTCTGGGGTGTCAAAGGTCACTGGGTCCAGGGTCGCAACACTCTCACATTTAAAGGAGACCACACCACTCACCTTGGACAGATGAAAGAAAACTAAATGTGAAGGGGTATAATCACTTTTTGGGTTGGTAAATCAAAGAAGATCAAATCAAAGCCAAAACAATTCCTTTGTAGTCTGAGACTGAAATAATAGTCAGCTTCCAAAAGTAAATGGAATGAAAGGAAAAAAGAGTGCTGCTGCCTCTTAAAAATGTAATCCCATTTAGTCAAAAAATCCTTACAGTTTAAGTCCAACCAGACCTAAAAAGGGCTTGTTATACATAAAAAGTGTCTGCGTGTAAGAAGATAATACGTTGTCTAATAAAGTTGTAAATGCTGCTAAAAGTGTCTACCTTCATTTTCGGGTCTCCTTGTTTTGCCAGTCTAGACAGCTCCAACCGTACATCATTGTTCTTGTACACCACCTTCAGGGGAGGAGATGAAGGGGGGAGAGTTCAGTTTTGAATGAAAGAAAGTCTTATATTCTGCCATTTCTTGTGTTTCTTTAATTTGCTTTTCCGGCCGCAAACAATAGGTTACTCAGTGCTACATTATAGAAAGCCATAAGAAAAATAAGGCACTTCACAAATGGAAAAATACAGGAAAACCGTGCATATGTGGAAACCAGACTTTCTGTTCGATACAAGTGACAGTCTTCTAACATAAAGAACTAACTTTTTGATGCTAAAACTGCAACCTTAAGTGACATCCTCAATTTGTGAAATATCCAAGATGCCTCCCTGCCTCTCGCATGATTGCTTTAATACTTTTTAGCTTTAATGTTTCTCTCTTTCCTTTCAAGCATGCACAGGCACCGCTTTATTATTCCAGACCTCGTCATATGACCTATGGGCAACAACAGTGGTTCTCCACATTCCCTTTTTCACCCCTTTTTTCAAATCTTTGTTAGTCATGGGCATTTGTGCTGATATGCACAGCCAGGAAGGGGACTGTTGAAGATAACTCCTGCAAAGTGGATTCACTATGTGGGTACAACGTGTGTGGAGGAATGTGCCTCCGCTATATCAAATGCACAAATTGTTGAAGCTGTGATTGTTCATGCGTGTGATTCGCTGCATACATCCTAATTTGCTCACACGGATTATCATATCATCGTATTAAATATGTAAATGTGCCAGTGGAAGGTTCACTTTGACTGTGGCGGCCTTGTTTAAACGCCATCAGTCTTAATGAAGCAACACAGAGGGCATTCACCGCTGATACAGATAGCTCTCTGTTTGGCACATCATCTGTCGGCTTGCTTGGCTGTTTACGCCTGTGTGAATTGGTGTGAGTGAAACTGAAACTTAGATGGGGTGTGTATTTGATGAGTACACGGAAGAAGTTTTTTTTTGGGTGCATTGAAGAGCTGTGTACTCATTCATGTATGCTTATTTGTCTTTTAGTGAGAATATTTGTGCAGATTTGCTCATATATGCATATGCACACATATGATGGCGTTAAAATGTACAAGTATGCGTGTGAGTGTGTTCTCATCAGAGCGTTGTGTGAGTTTCTGTTGCTGCTGTGTTGTGGCCCATTTCAAGCAGAGCGGATAGATGGAGCATCTCTGTGGCGTAGCTAATTAGCATGTTAGTGCTTAGTGCTGTATCTACTCCCTCAACGACACTCATCACTGATTCTGTCTGATGCTAGGGAGGATGTGTGTGTGTCTGGGACTGTTTTTGTGAGTCTGCCAAAACATTTCTCTGTATGTGCGTCCTTTAAAAGAAAACGATGTAAAATGATGCCTGAAAGAAATGGAAGGGATGATACTGAAAGAAAGAAACATCAAGAAAGAGTATGAACTTCATAGGGGGTGATAATTAAATATGTTGAATGGCGTACTTTTAGGGAAACAAATGATTATGTGGTATCAATGGTTAACTTTCAAAAATGGTTCTTCCCTAAAGACAATATGAATTACCTGACTTGCATTCAGAATACTGAGCACGGTTCTCACCTCTTTGAGGCAGCCCATGAAGTTATTGCTGACAGGAGAACCAGGCAGATCAGCAGTGCTGGGACTCCCTCCCACATAGAAGAAGTCATCAGAGCCCAGCATGGTGTAGTCCTCCTGTGTGTAACCCGTTGTGGTCAGGATCCCGTCCACAGAAATCGTCACCTACACAACAAAGCACAGGGAAAGGACACGCTATATACTCACACCAAAGGCAGCGCTAAGCGCTAGCTAGGCGCTGACCAGCCAAATTAGCCCCCGTTACTCTGGTAACCAGTGTATGTGCGTTCTGTTGGGAGAAGGCCGGATTGGTTGGGAATTGGAGAGAAGTGCAGCTGTTGGGAGTTTGATTTGATGCAGTTGGATCAGTGCTTGCTGTGAAGTGTAACTGCTGATATTACTGTCATTAAAAATATGTTGCTACACATGGAAAATGGCACCTGCTTTCAATCATCCTCCCTGCTGTTTGTGAGACACAGTCTACCACCTGACTAACATCTTTAGTCAATAAAAAGCAGTTGTCCTAGAGTGCAGGACGGTGACTAATCCTTGTGTGTGACTCATTTGGATTTGCTGAGACCCAGAGCTTCAGGGCCACCAAAAGTTTCTTCTAAGTCTTCAGAGCGAGTTTGCCGTACAGTGATTGTATAACACTAACTATAATAACAATCCTAAAGCATCGTGGCTTGTGCAGTGTTGCAGTAAAGAGATAGCCTTGTTTGTTGAAAGAACCATGACTGAGCCATGACTATTTTTATGCCTCAGACGCTACGTTCCTTTATAGCTGAGGTAGTAAATGCAATTTGATTAACTTCCTAATAACCAAATAACATTGCTCCTAAATGCTTTACTTTCAGTGACACGGTATTCTTATAATTTAATCAGCCCATTTTGCTGTGTAATGGCCTGTGCATGGGCTTTTAACTGTCAATGGAATCCCGTGCTCTCTCATGTTATTTGCAATTAGAAGAACATTGTCACTAAGACATTCTCCAGTACATTACTGACCATGTTGAGCTGCCCATAAAAGTTGTAAGCACATTGCTTGCCAGCTACAACACAGTTCCCTATCATTGACAGTGCTTAGCATCGCCAGGCAATATTGCTCAGCCAGTCAAGTGTTAGTAATTCTCCGCAGGCATCTTCGTGCTTAACAGGTGTTAGTACTATTTACTTGTTAGTAGTTGTTAGTTGGAGTCAAAGTAGTGTAACTTGTGGCAGGCAGAGCTGTGTAGGGTTACTGAGATTGGGGTTAATGATTTGGATGCTGTTAGTAGGTGTGATGATGTTATGTTACTGTGTTGTTAGGGTGAGTTGTGATGATGGTGTTAGTTAGTTTGTGGTCTGGGGGGGTTTGTTGGATCAGCGAGTCTGAATGGGATGACACACAGACGAGCACACGGGTTTTAATGTGCACACACGCACAGATGTTAGATGGGCTACAGTTCATTCCACATAAACACACACACATAAATATATAAACATGCACCCTGTTCCTCTCTCTGCATGCAACCGCTGGCAAAAAAAAGAAAAAAAAACAGATGACAAAAGGACAGGATGACTCAGGGCACCATGGAGAACATGCAGTGGCAGAGTGTAGGACGAAAAATCAAAAGAAGATTAAAAGAATCCACTTTATCCACTTAATCCACTTTATGGACCAATCAGAGTGGGTAAGGGTTTTTGAGTCTGCCATGCAGGGAGGGTGGGGCTTGTCACTTGCGTGCAGGTGAGGGATGAGCCGATCTGTGCACGCCTACATGTAAGTCACTAGGTGATGGGGTGAAAAAAAATACGGTAGAGTAGGGAGGGGTGAGGGGTTTTACAGAAAAAAGTGGTTGGCAACGAGGGGGGACAGGGGCTCTATAAGCGTAAAAGATTACCAACCGCATTTATCCTTTTATTGGTTTAGTTTTGATGTCTATGATTCAAAAGGAAATAGACACGGGGAAAACCCAAACTAAGAAACAATTAGAATGATATCTACCGAACAATGGAGTTTGTTTACCATAGCGTGTCCAATGCCTGAGTGCTTTGTAGGAGAGGGGGAGAAAGGAAAGCAAAAAACTGTGAACAGAACAACTTTGGGAACAAAAAAAGGAAAGCTAGAAGGCCTCTGGTGAGGTTAGTAGGTTGGTTGGAGTGGATTCGCTAGGAGAAGGGCACAGGTTAGGTTAGTAGAATGAATCATTCCATGGATGGTGGTTAGTTTCACTAGCAGGTTAGTAAAGTTAGTAGTCAAGTTAGTAAAGAAAGGCAAACGGTAGAGGCAGGGCACAGGTAGGTTAGAAAGCACCTGAGTGCTAGTGATCCTCAATGATTTCTAATTCACACTCACTTTGATTCATTCACACACTCCAGCGTAAGTACACACACTTGACTGAAAAGCACTCACCGAGAGCTGAAAGCAGAGCTGGTCTGGTGGTTAACCCACTGTAAACTAAGACCAAAACCTCAGATATTTTCTTACTCCCACAGCATGATCGCAGTTGAACAACAGCCCACTGACCGTAGTTTCAACATTGATTAATCTCTTGCTGCGGACTACAGTCTTTTCAACTGTCCACTGCATCTGGAACATCTGTAGCAGTATCTGTGGTTCATCAAAGTCGAACACATGCTACAACTAACAAACAAAATAGGACCTTGATATAAAAACATATCACTCTGGCAAATTCCTCACTTATTCACTTATTTGATTAATAATCGCTTAGTGAACATGGAGTCTACCCCTTTCTCATCAGATTTGTTTTGTCAGATCTGTTTACTCCTTCATTTTGTACTCGACTAGAGAGCATTGAATTTAAAAAGAAACTAACATCACTGGGGTGGAAAAAAAAAATTGGAAGGTAACAGAATATACAAGTCTTCAGTGATATTATCATATTCTTACCTCAGTCATTAAAAAGATTACATAAAACAGAGAAAGCATAAAAAAACATTCCGAAGAGCAGAACAAAGCAATCACTGGTTGGCTTTTTACTCTTTGCCTGACAGCTCAGTTAAAATGACTTGAAACAGTACTGAAAGCATGTCAGTTACTGAACTTTCCATCCATTCATTCATCTGCTGCTTGTTGTATTATTTCCCTTGTCCCTGTCACTTCGATTCTTTCTTTTTAAAGGTCTATCATCTTTTCTCTGCTCAGCTGCTCACTCTTCTACCTCCTGTTGTCTGGTTACCTGTCTCAGGTTGCGGGTGACCTTGACGTCATGCCAGGCGTTGTCGTTGAACTTGCCGTTGACGGGCTCCACCAAGGCCTCGAAAGCCCCAGAGCCAAGGTTAATGACAAGCGACACGGCACCGTTCTTTAGTGCCAGGTTCACATAGTCAGCTGACTTGCCAGTGTGCAGCATCAGGCCATTACGCTGCAGCGTCTTGAAGGAGAGTGTGATTTCATCACTGCTAGATTGGATGGGGTTGGGCGATAAGTCATAGCAGAAGTACTCAGAACCCTTGAAGGTGGCAACGTACTCCTCGCGAGCTGAGATGGAAAGGGAGAGGAAAGACACAGGGACAAAGAAGAAAGAAGTGTCAAACAGATACACTGTTGATGAGCATAATCTAGTGATTAGCACAATGTACATGCTGCAATATTTCTTCCCACACTGCTTTTCACAAAATGCTCAGAGATGAAAACGGTGGGTGTTTATCAGAGCCAGCCGAGTAAAACAAATCTCATCCGGTCCTGGTTAAATTTGATTTTGATGTGCAGTACAAAAGCATATCTGAAAAATGTTGTTATTGTCAAGCAAAGCCTCACCGATGCCAGCACTTGGAAGAAACACTTCCCTCCATACCTCTAATCGTACCATAGTGTGGTGGGTAAACAAGCTTTGATCAGTCACTTGGGTTAGAGATTAAACTGTGTGTGTGTGTGAGAGAGACAGTCGTGAGCGTGTAACATCCCAAACTTGTTATGAAACCTAGCATCTTCTCTTTTGAGAGAACAGCTGTGCTGGCAGCCTAAAGTGATGTGGTCTTGTTTGACAACATGGCTCATTTCACAATGTTTGCTAAAAACCAGAATGTAAGTATGTGCAGAAGCACCGGGGGTTAGAGGAAATTTGAGAAGGATGGCAAAAAACTGACGATGAAGATGGAAAGCAGCAGCCCGAAAGCACCATGGCAGCCAAAGCAGGCAGCAGTAGCCAATTAGAATTCAGGATAAAAGGCAAACAGCCAATAGCAACTTACCTTGTACACCCTTTGTGACCCCCAAGGACACTAGACCAAGGTTTTTGTAATCCATCATCCTTAAGCTCACATTTGCTATCTGCTCTCTAACACTTACTCACACATCAGTGCAGCAAAGTATATGCAAACGGGCAGAGGAATGCACACCTACACACACATCTGCGTGAAAAAACGATCATACCGTTTCACTGGCCTGAGCAAGCAGATGCGACATTATCCATCCCGCCCACGCCCACCCTACCAACTAAAGCATCCCCCTTCCTTTCCAATCGCTTCTCACAGCGATCCCCAGATCCCAAACATCATCCTCCTGGCCTCGCACCACCATTTCTTTCTGCACTTCGTGCTGGCCTCTTTTTTTTTGCTCTGTGGAGCCTCTGGCATAACCACCATCTTGTATCTCGCAATAATGAAAAGAATAGAAGAGAATTTAAGACACACTATAGGTGAAGCTGCAGTAAGACACTTGCTGAGGAAGTACTAGAGAGTAGAGGGGAGAAAAGATTGCCACATAATGAATACACTGAAGTGAAATAGGTTATTAAGGTAGTGAGAGGCAGAGACAGGAGTGTTGAAATGGTATTGGCCGCACTTCAGTGAATATAACACAGGGGGAATAATGAGAAGGACAAAAGTGAGAATATATCACAATTCAAAGGCCAATTGTGGCAAATAGTCTTTCTTTGCTTCTCTAATATTGAAAAAAAACAAAAAACAAAAGTGTGAATGCCAATATTCGAGTGAGAAACAACACGTTGTTTGCCAGCATGTGTGCGAGTTCCCCCTAGTGTGTGATTCCTTCCCTCCCAGCATGTTAATTAAGAGTGTGTGTGTGCCTCGAAATGAAAACCGTGTGCAGCTCCGCATTCAAGCATTTAAAAGTGTTTGTGTGTATGGACGACTTTATGCTTTTTATGTGTGTGGGTGTGGGTGGGTGCTGGTCTCTGTAAATATTGGTGTATTGCTGTCAGAAAAGCTATTACCAACTCAGGGCCTCGGGCTAGTCTTTACTGAGAGGAGCGGGAGTGAGGAAAGGGGGAAGCACACACCAAAACACACACATAAATGGAAAGAACAGCCACAAATGTTAACCCAATCACACATATCCACTGACACGCACGCAGACAAATGTAGATAAGGTGCCAGAGAGAAGAGACGGGAGGGCAAGCTGTTCACAATGAGAACACGCGCAGCCGTCCAGCAGCATTCAAGCGGTAATTTACAGAGGTGCCATTAGGTTTCAGTGTGGTGCTCCACCATTCTGTAGCTAATTTACAGACACGTCATTAGACCAGACAGGAGCACATAAACCATCTCTGCATCGATCTGGAAGCTCTAGCCTGCAAACACTTGCTCCTTGTTCTATTACATCACACACACACAACAGACACACAGGCAATTAGACGCACAAATAAGACGCGGGATTGCACGCGGGGTAACAAATGCACACAAGGAAGGTCGTGTGTGGAGCGCGCGTGCTGGCAGAGCATGTACACGCCTAAAACACACAGAAATATGCCCGCCCTCAAGTGTGTGCAGGTTCGAGTGGATCCGTTGTAGCTCAGATTAATGGAGTGAGTCAGTATTAGCTCAGAGTAAACACTGAGGCAGACACTGACATACACACCACATGTCACACTTCATCCCGCGGAAAGCACTGTCAATCAAAGCCAGGGAGGCAGAGAGCGAAGAAATACAGTCGAAGTAAACAGGGCAGATGAATAAAATAAGGCTTTTCTGACCCCGTGTTTCTTGTGATAATTAATCGTTCGTAAATGAATCTGTATCAATGCTCTCCAGTGGTGTGTGGTTGGATTTACAGAATGAGAGCAATAGCTTTTCTTTGCCTCTTACAAAACAAACCTTGATCTTAACAATACAACTCGATTAGATTAAGTTAAATGAATTACAGAGAGGAGAAAGCAGTGCCTTTAAAGTGGATTAATGTTTCTCTGGAAGGTTTTACTGTAAAGCTTTATTAAATGAAGCGTGTTCCTTCTTTTAGGTTGTTTGACATTACTGAATCAACGGGCTGTCAAATGAAAGCCAACCTAAATAATCATTTTGCTTGAATTATCGATCTCTTCAACATTTGTAGTCTCAGACTTGCTGCCATCAGGGTACGCTTCTTTTCTTTTTTATGCCAAATAGAGTTAAATATCCTAATAACAAAACAAGCTATTTAAAGATGTTTTGTCTTCTCTGTAAGAGTGTGCAAACTAAGTGAAAAATTACCTGCTTGAGCGACATTAAAAGAAAAACTAATCTTTTTTCTGCCGCGTTCAAGCAAATACTTTCCTCTGTCCAGAGCCTCTCTGGTGCAACTTTCATGTGGTACAAGTTTTCATTTTTCTAGACGGATAATCTACATAAGGTGATTCTAGTACTGAATGAGACAGCGAACTGTATTAAGTATTGAATATTAAGTTGTCGCTCTGAAGAGACAATTCTCCTCAAACAGCTTTCTGTTGTTGAGACCGTGTGTTTGCCATGTTATTACATACAGCAACTCCCCCAACTTTAAGCAACCCATTCCAGCATTTCTGAAATGGCACTGGGGAGTATTTACGCTTAAAAACACAACCATAAATCCTCAGTCTGACTAACAGGAGAATTTAAGTTCAAGAACACTTTGGGGCCTTTGGTGACTTTGCTCTTTTTTTTCCTCTTTAATTTTCATTTGTTTTTTTTAGTTTGGTTCAGGTAACAAAAGCACACTGCCTGTTCAGGGCTAGATTGATGTCCCTTTGTTGCGTCTCGCTGTTCTGTTCACAGCAGTAAAAGCGAGAGCAGGAGGGTGGGGTGGGTCTAAGTTGAAATGCCTCTGAGCCACATTGGAAATCTTCTTGAGTTGAATTGACACCTCTCTGTGAGCAACAGCGGCCGGTGGGAAGCCCAAATTCTCATAGCTCATTTTGTAATGCTGTTCTATTTGACAGCACGCACAAACACATTTCGGTCAACTTCAAAAAGGAACGACAGGTTATCATTACGTAAAGATCATAGCGGGGACTGACACGACGAGACGGCTCTCATAGAACTGTAAAAGCTCAATTTTCCAGGGTGACTGAGTCCAGCTGTGATGTTGCCTCACAAAGCAGCGAGAGATCACTTATCTTCGAATCACAAGTACAGGTCGCAACTAGAGCTGAGAACTACGGTGTCATTGTTATAATAGAGAATGAGAATATGGAAAAAAACTCAGATGAGAATGAGAGGAGGGGTTATGCAATTATACAAGGAAATTGCACACAAAAAGGAACAACGATGGATAAAAGAAAAGTGGGAAAAAACATGGAAGTGCAGATGATTGGCATTAGACCTTAAAGCCTGCCATTAAACCACTGCTCTAATGAGCAAAGCAAACTGTGAGGGGGCAGGAAGGAGATCTCAGCTGATGGTTGCTGCTTCAGGGACCAGCTGCAACTGTAGCGTCCCTCCAACGATCAAACACACATCACATGGATTTTTCTGCGTGCTTGCGTGCGCGTGGTGAGTTTTTGTGTCATTTGTGGCTTCATCCCAATCTCTTGGGTCTCCTCCTCAACATTTCACATATTAATTTGTCATCGCCATGGCAACACTGTGTTACAGGGGCTCCAGCAAATACGAATGTGTGCATGTGTCTTTCAGGGAGACAGGAAGAGAGATGGAGAAGGAGGGCAAGGGAGAGAAAGAGTGATTGAGTGAACAGTACATTATCATGGACAGCTGTACTGAATCAAAATGGCGGATGGAAGCTGGGAGCACATCAGGGGAGCCTTCATTATACAGCACCTGATAGAGGGAGCAGGGTAGAAAGAAGGAGGGTGAAGAAAATTGGAAATGCAGACAGGGGGAATCTGAACAGAGAAGGAATTTTATAAAAGAAAAAAAAGAGGGGACGGTGACACTGATTGGGAAGGGGGGACACAAAATGGAAGAGAGGAATGAGCAAAATAGAGGGAGGGAAAGATGAGACAAGGAAATGGAGTTGCAGAGAAGCTGGGATGGATGGCTAGAGAGAATGAAAAAGAGAAAAATGCTGGTGTATCTAAATCCTAGTGTAGCAAGCCTCAATCATGGCAGCCCTGTCATTCTTGAGATAGCACACTGCAATTCCACTGCACCTCGTTTTTAGCCCACCATGCAGTTCTGCTATCAGCTCCTCTCAGACCATTCACTCACACACACATGCACACACACAGGGCAAACATTTAGTACGAAGGCTTCCTTCCTTAATAACAGACAGGTGGATTAACTAAACACTCATTCAGTATACTGACGTAGATGACTAGAGTTGGAAATGTATGTAAATATATTCCAACATATGCATATCTCCTATATTATGTTCCAGAGAGAAAATTCATTCACTAAAAGTCAAGTTCACTAAACGACTGCCGTTTCCATC